CGACCTGAAATCCTATAGTTAATAAGTAAATGAAGTCATCCGAATCTAGATCTTAAATGGTTTGATATGCTTGCTACACCTTGTGTTCTCAAGCACAATTGCAATTGAAATATCTATTTTAGTTCATATTTGCTCGGTTTCATCTTTTTCATATTTAAGAACGTAAACATATTACATTGCATTAACACACCTTTTGATCTTTATTATGTATACGAAAAAATTAGCAAATATTATAATTAAAGGTAAAGACCAGTAATGGTCATGCGATTGCATTGTGAAAGAAACGTTGTGGAATCGATCAGAAAAGGTTGATCATCTAGCATCTAGCATCTGCAAGGTTCTGGAATCATCAAAATGATAAGAAATTTGGCCCATTCTTCGTAAAGTTACAAGCACTATACACAGAAAGATGTATATGGGACTACCCTATCTCTCTCACCAGACCATGAGAGAAATAAATTTACCAAATATATGAATTAGTAGGCGGTTTTTGGCAAATTTTTTATCATCATGTATTAGTCAAAACATATTCTTTCACATGATTGGTAATGAGAGCTTCCATTTCAATTTTTGAAATTGGGGCGTTGCCAATACTGGTCTTTACCTTTAATCCTTTGCCTATGCTGGAACCGGGTGGGCCCTGTATTAAGCATATGGGAATGAACAAACTCAGAAGTCATAGGGTTAAAGGAAACTGTTCTGAATAGAACCTGATTACACGTCAAGTCCATTAGGATGAACTTTATTAAAACCGCAACTTTCGCAAATAAATAGAGTAATTTTCTTTCTTTCCTTTTTTCCACGATTCCACATAACAAAGCTTTCTCATACATACTATCAACAAGCTAATGCATGATGAAACCATGAGAGACATGTAATAGAGAATTATGACGTGAAATATAGGGAACCTATACATATAGTTTATCATGAGGATCATTAAAATATAACGTGAAAGCAGAACTTGTAAATCATATGTTTGATTTGATGTCATCCAAGGAAGAAAAAATGAAGTGAGTACTTGTTCGATGAATTAAAGAAAACAAGAACCAGTGATAAGATAAGATAAGATAAGATTTTATTTGACTCTATCGACCCCCTTCAGGGGTATGAGAGCACAACATTTACAACACAATACAGAAAGATATATAAAAACAAAGTAAAATATGATAATAAAATACATAGACATATCATACATACATTTTTATATTTCTAAAACACAATAAACATGAGCTAAAGACTAAGTATACACTATACAGGGACGAACGAACCAACCATTTCGATATTTCGACATTTCGACACTTCTTTTCGAAATGTCATGTTCCAACTGTGTATTGGAGTTTATAGCTAGGTATAGGCGATGAAGTGGGTAAGAAAAGTCAGAACAAAATAATTGTTCGTAATCTGTTTTCAATATCGGAAAACTCCGTAGACTTTTGAACACTTGAACATTCGAAAGATATACTCCATCTATGCATATACTTTTTCATCATGTTAACACGTCTATGTATGATATGTGTATAAGCGAGGTATGATATGTACTTAAAGTGGGATATACGAATTGCATTACATTTCGTCGATGATGATAAGTCCTTGTCTTTGATTTTTTGTGTCGTTTTATTATTTGATCTGACTGGATATATAGGAGACGGTTGTAAAGATTAACAGCCCCGATAAACATCTTACTAATGAAGCTATACACCGATTCGGTTTGGGGGTTTTATGTACCTGCCCGCCGGTGGCGGCGCTATAACTGGGGGGCTTCTCCGATCCAGCTGACAGTACAGAGAGCTCGAGAGCGGTTACTAGCTAGCGGAGCAGCGACCCTGGCCGGCCTGGGCGAGGTTCGGTATAGGTATAGCATACCCGTTGCAATGTAAGCTAGCTAGCTGCAGTCAGACGCCCCCCAGTTATGGCGTCACCTTATGAGGGCGCACTTCCACCAGAAGTCGCCCGAATCGGTGTATTCCCACATTAATAGTGTAACTATCACACAGCCAATATGCAGTACAATAGTCTATACTACATGTATACAACCATTGAATAGCCGCCTCTTCGTGTTAGGCAGGGGTGCGAGGGCGGGTTAACTTGTTGGACTTTGCTCGTACTGAGGGGGTCTTTGAATAGGATCACTGGTGCAAAACATGTTTGCTAAGCGCTCGAAATAATGCGTCGCTGTTTCCGGACTAGGCTTCGTAAATAAAAGACTTGTTTGCAATACGTAACCTTTGACTCCGTTACTTCCGATCTGGCATAAAAGAAAAAAATGAGAAGACGAAAAAATAAGTTGAGGCGTGTTGGGAATTGCACGGAGCAGTCAGTCGATCACAGCGTATTGAGCTGCTCATACATTCTATAAGAGGACTCGTCATATCAATACTCCTTCTCGTAGTTATATATGTGCGGATGATTAGTTTTTTTCAAGGTTGGATTTAGTTTACATTTGACATGATAATCATGACTGAGTGTAGCAAGTCCAGGGACATTTAAGTCAGGAAACCGTTGGAGTTACAATCGACTTCCAGCATCTGGGACATGTTTAGTATACAGTATATGGACGAATTTCAGCAGAGAAACACTATAATATGGAAATGCCAAGCTTGACATTCGCAGTATCACTACACAGAAATCTGGAATTTATTCAGTCATCAATTTACTAAAGTTCTTAACTTTGAGTAAGAAGTTTGTGCGATATTGTTACGGTTGTGACAAACTGACAGTTGTGATTATCATCCATGTTATCGATCACGGATGAAACATCGTTGAACAAAAATGGCAGATCAGTTTCTAGAGGACCACACGTCGTGCGATGAGTGCGGGGAGAAATGGAAAAGTGTGACAGACGGTAATGAACCAAATGCGCGCTACCTCACGAGAAGAAAGTTATGTTCGGAATGTGCGCGGGGAAAGTGTGCCGACTCCATCATGGATTCCCCGTCATCGTCATCAGTATCGAGCATGAGGTGCCGTGAGCATCGACATCGAGATGTTTTTCTGTATTGCATAAAATGCTGCCAACCGATTTGTGATGTCTGCGTGCATCTAACGCACTCTGGGCACGAATACGAGGACATTAATAAAGTTGTGGAGGAAAGGCGAAGAAGTACGAGACAGCTTCTCGATAAAATTGTCGACAAGGACAAGGAGCTCGTGTTCGATCGTCGTCATATCGACGAATGCGTCGACGCCGTCAACGAGCGCTTCAAGAGATTAATATATGCCGTGCTTGTCCGCGTTGAGGAGAGATCGAGAAGCATTAATGACGACTACTGCGTTTCTGCGAGAAAGATTGAAAACCGCGCCAAAGAAGAGAAGCTGAAAATAGACAGATGGAAGGACAATCGTTTGAGGGAGATCAAAGAGGAGAGAGATGCAGAGAGTCGAGAAATTAAGCAAAGACAGTGTGTAATGATGCAGGAGCTTGATGATGTAAAGCAGAAGTTGTTGTCTCAAATCGAGGAGATACGCGAGGGTTTGGATACGGCCGACGAGATTATAATGGAAGCGAAAGAAATTACGGAAAGAACATTGACTTATGGGAGCGAGGAACTACTACAGATGGATGCCCCGGTGACATCTAACTCGCGCCTTAAAGAATGCATGGAGCTGGAGTTGGACGAAGACATGATTAATACGGTGAAGGCCATCGCAGAGAGTGTGAAGTTCGAGCCTGAGAAGAGCGATGTTGAAAGGACGAACTTACTCGGCAGGTTCGTCACCACTGCACCTGCATGGTGCAAGGAGCATACGATTCAAGTCGGCCTACCACAGTTTCGGCTGCTGAATGCGACCACGGACACGAATCGCGTGACCTTTACGGGCGAAAACAGCGATGATAACTACAGCCTGTATACAATGAACGTAGAAAATGGAAGCACGAACCTAATAACATCTGACAAATATTGCATCACCGACTCGTCACCTATCGATGTCGATTTGATGGCCGTGTGCCGAAAAGGTAGAACGGCGATAGAAGTTTGGAATACCCAGCTAGGAAAGGTGAAGCGACAGATAAAAGTGCCTCGATCGTGGACGCATACGTGCCTGACAGTCGACCACGATAGCATGATTATCGCTCGTGATCATTCGAATACTCATGGGAAGCTTAACGTCTACCGGTCGGACAATGGGGATAAAGTTCGCTCCATTCCGTACAATGGAACAATTTACAGTCTGCATGCGTTGTCGACCGGTCACCTCGTCATTCAATCAGCAGCCACTGAATTGGTCATCATTAACGGGATTGGAGCTACGCGTGCCACAATCAACCACGAAATCTGGCAGTGGGTACGGTGCGCCGTAGCGAGCGACGACTCCATCATCGTCGCCTACGGCAGGATAGACGACCCCTCGGCGATTTACGTGGACGCGTATTCATCCACCGGCGAGTTCGTCGAGCACGTGACGAAACATCGATGTCGCCCGTCGCTTGATCACATCGCGGTGGTCGTGACGAGGTCAGGCAAAATCGTACTCCAGAACGGTGGCGATGTTGTAATCTACGATCGCCTGATTCCGCTTATTCCCGTGGCCACGCCAGTCAGGTCTACCGACGTCATTTCGAGGTTGTCGACGTCATCACCGCCACGATCGCCGACTCGCCGAACTATTTTCATGTGCATACCTACATGATGCAAACTAGAATGCACATATTTAACAATTGTTAGTTATATCGTTAGTTGATACAATTCTCAATGTTTATATAATGACATATTTAGTTATTTGGGACTTATCCTTTCTCGAAATGAATTTCGATCATTCGGCGTTCTGTCACAAGTTTTCACCGATGATGTCTTGTTTTGGGGATATGACTTGTAAAAGCTTAACATAAATCATGTTAAAGAAGTGACCAGAGACGAAAATCAGGGGATTTTTTTTTTCATTCATCACTTATTTTACAAGAAATAATTACAGTACATTCACTTTGTTATCATTGAATTATCCACTTGTCTTTGTAGATCTAAATCTGTATGACTATTTATGGAGGCCGCATGGCCATGATGATTGAAATATGTATCGACAGTTCAGGAAGATTCACATAGACTTATTTAAAGTTTTTATTATTTTACTCATAATTTATGTGCAATATGTATCAGTGAGAACACAATTTAGAATGTATATTGATGGTGCTGTATAATATGGAGAAAATATAATGTATTAATAACATAATTATCGTCTGTTCTCTTTACTTAAGCAAATTGTATTGATTTTCTCCTGAAATGGCTTTAAACTAATCAGAGTAGGCCTACATGATGCAGCGGGTAGTATTCTTTTCATATACGTTCTTACAAGTGTCGTTTACATTAGTCGTTTCCTTGCAAACGTAAGCCATGTTTACACGGTACCGTCGTAGTTATGTATTAAAACATTAAAGGGGAAGTCCACCCTAATATCAAGTTGGCTTTAATAGAAGCAGAAAATGAGAGAAACATATTATTGAAAGTTAGAGCAATATCAGATTAAAACAAGGTAAGTTATGACTTTTTGAAGTTGTCATCAGTGAATTACAAATTGGCAACACTGTGACGTATCTTGCGAGCCCCTCTCTAATTTCCATGGTATAGAACATTTCATATTCTTATTTTTTGACGACGAAATAGATTTCTTTCATATATGGGTTGTATACAAATATATTTGCAATAATGATATTTAGGGTGAATGTATGATTGGACATTTTTTAAAGGGAAAATGTAGATTTGTAAAGTTCGTTAGTACATACCGATTGGGAGGGGAGCTCGCAAGATACGTCACAGAGTTGCCAATTTGTGTTTGGTTGATTGCACCTTCAAAAATGTTTAACTTTCTTATTTTAATCTGTTTTTGTTTAAATCAAACTTTCACTGATCTGTTCCATTCATTGTATTGATTTTATTATGAACAACTTCATATCAAGGTGGATTTCCTCTTTAAGTTAACAGCAATCCATTAACCACGAAGGGTGTTTACACGGGACCGATACAACGAGTATATTAAATTAACTACAACTTCAAGCTAGGGACAGTATTTATTTTTATTGCAAGCTGGCGTAACCTCATAGTTAATCGCGTCCTTATATAACTTTCAGTGAGGAACCTTTTACCTTTATCTTTAAAATTTATCGTGGTTGTAACTTCAACTTCACTTAAAGTTTCGAAACTACGAGTGCGTCCACACGGTCCCTAACAAAATGATAACTTCGAAGTTTATACATATTATCTTAACTTCAAGTTAATAGACCTTCAAGTGAACCTTGCTATTATATTCTTCGTTCCTTGTAATCATCAACATCGGGCTATAAACTCTTCTTGATTCTAGATCTGTGCTTTCTCAGCTCCCGGAAATGTCCTTAAAGAGAAAGTTGAGTTCTGGGAAGAGGTAAAAAATAATTTGTGAGCTTTATCATTGTTATTATGCAAGTGTGGAAGAACATCAGATAAGACATGTTCCCTGAAAAGCATGGCTCTTCAAATGCCTTCATATTCTAAATATGACATGAAACATCGTAAAAATCCGGGAAGGTTTTTTTCGCCATGTGCTCGTGTAGTGCCATATACATCATTATGTGTACAGTGCTTGTAACTTTGCCAAGATTTGGCCAAATTTCTTATCATTTTGATGATTCCAGAACCTTGCAATACACACGGATACTTAAAAACTAGATGATCAACCTTTTCTGTTAGATTCCACACCGTTTCTTCCACAATGCAATCACATGACCAGGGCTCAACTTTATCTTTAAATGAAAGAGAGGGATTTATTTCATCAAAGTTTGTTAAATGTTTTAGGGGAAATCGTTGTCTTTTAAACATTATCTTGCACATGCATATAAATGGGAGTGCCTTTATGAAAGATATATATATATATATATATATATATATATATATATATATATAGGAAGATATTTTTGTTTTAAAAACAATTGTGTCTTTTGATAATTTCCTTGCGTGTGCATTTAAATGTTATACTCCAAAGAGAATTACCATAAAACGTCACTGCCAATTCATTATCTAAATAAAAGATCTTTGTACTATCGGATTTGTACTATATCCATGTATTCGTGTATGATCTCTGTGTATAAGATAAGTACCAAACTAAACCATGTGTTTACACCGCGTTTACTTGGTTTGCTCATGAACCATACTCATAGGACTGTATTAAACGTAGATAAGGAAACCATTGAGACGAATTTATTGTTTTGTAACCTATCGAGTGAATACTTTGGACTATGACTTACACACACAATTCTGGTTTGTAAACGCATCTGTCGTGTATCAGAAAATGTTTAATCAATGCGTCTTTATCATGTTGATGTATTCTTTATTTTCAAAAGCTTATAACATGTGTGCGATTTCAAAGCAACTCGGTACGTTACTGCGACCTGTCCTGTTCTGGATAGAAAATAAAAGATTTGAAAAATGAAATCAAACTAGCCATTTGCGATTGTATTGTTGTTGTTGCTGTATTTTCGATTTGAAATCAACGCCATGCAATAAGGGACATATACCAACGACAAAATGGCTAGAAGACAGCAATGACGGTGATCATGATGGTGATGATGATAATGATGGTGGTGATGATGATGGTGGTGGGGATGATGATGGTGATAATGATGGTGATTTTGATGACGATGATGATGATGATGATGATGAAGATGGTGATGATGACGATGATGAAGATGATGGTGATAATTCTGGAGATGGTGACGATGATGAAGATGACGAGAGAGAGTCAGAAACAGAGATAGTAATAAAACTGGAGTATCATGGAGAGGGATAGGAAGAAATGAAAAGGAAGAGAGAAAGAAAGAGAAAGAGAAAGAGTAAGATAAAGAGAGAGAGAGAGAGAGAGAGAGAGAGAAGGGGATATGTAGGACATACCACCAAAAAGTATTGAGATCATGATAACGACGGCGATGATGATAATTATGATGATAATGATAATGGTGTTGATGATGATGGTGATATGTGATATTGATGATAGTAATAACGATGATGGCGTTGATGATGAAGATGGTGGCGGGGAAGATGATTGTGATGGTAAAGATGTTGGTGATTATGATGATGGTGATATGACGAATATAGGGATAATGGTGATGATGATTATGATTAACGAGACTCAGAAACAGATATATTAGAGAGATGGAGAGAGAGAGAGAGAGAGAGAGAGAGAGGGGGGGGGGGGGAGGGGGGGGGAGAAAGAAAGAGATGATATAATGTGTATACATGTATACAACATAATTCAAACATATGAAATAAGAATCCTTTTGTTCACTTTTTCACCATGTAAAGTGAACTCCCAAGAATTTTTATTTTAGTTTTTTAAAATTATTATTTGTTTATTCCCATGACGGAGGATTATCCAAATTGAATTATTTGCTCTACGCATAGAGAGAAAGACAGACAGAGAGAGAGAGAGGAGGAGAGAAAGAGAAAGCGAGATAAGGATTGGATTAAGGGGGGGGGGGGGTAAACATGTCGAAGACAAGGGCGAGGGGTAAATCACTGAATTTTATTCAACAAGCCATACCTCATAATACCCCGCACTACTTGTAATAAGGACCCAGTGAGGCCCGTTTCTAACTTTTGACTTAAATAATCAGCCTTTAATAGTAAGCTACTAGTCAGCTAAGCGTTTCATGAAGCCCTCTTTGCCACGATCAAGGACACCATCCTGAGTTGATTGTGGTGCCTCCGACCCAACAAACTCAGACTTAAAAGACCAACTTGAAATTCGATGCTCCGACCTTGTCATTATCTCTGCCATAGCTTTTTTAGTAGATGTGCAGCGCCCTCACCTGTCATAATTATATTGGCTAGCAAAAAGGACAAGATATCTGTTTATACACATTCACTTAAACAGGGATGTATCCTTCGTTATACTGTATATAAAAATGTTGTGAAAACATGTCATATTTATATCTAATTTCATTTTATCCAATGAACTAAACTGACTCTTTTGTTTCTTTTTGAAGTTAGGTCATTAGGCCTACCTACAAACCAAATAATAATAATAATAGGAATTTCTATAGCGCCGTCTATCTAGAAGATTCTATTTCGAGGCGCATTTTTTTTCTCATTACCCCGGTTTTAGCCTAGCTGCCATTACAGCGCTCCAGCATTTCAAGGAATTCATTTCTGCCATTTACCTCACTTAGGTTGAGTGTGGAAATGAAGGAACTTGAACAAAGAAATCATGATAATAAACAGAACTAACAAACCCAAAGAAAAAAATGAAATAAATACAAAAATGTTAGATAGGCCTACGCCTGTAAGAAAAAAGTAATTGGATACGGAAGGCACGAATGATATTTAGACCGTTATAAAGTGTGTTGGAATAAAGAATTTGTGATAGCCCGGCCCCGGAATGACCGCATGCGAGTTACCAAAATGTCCGGTAAAGGGGTACCTTTCACGCACCAAAGTCCGGCTCGTACATACACAAAATTGACTTTACACACCGGACTTAGGGGGTGTTTTCAAAAGGAGGGAACACGCATATGCGTACCCTAAATAACAATGAGTGTGGGGGGGGGGGGGCGGGGGCGGGTGTGATTGTAATTCCCCTGGGAAAGAATGACCGCCCCCGCCCATAATTCAATGTAAAGAAGAGACCGCCTATATCTAAGCAATTATGTAGAGTCCTGTTACAATTCGAAAAAAGACAAATTCATAGCTGATACTAGGAATTAACCTCTCCACTATAAATTATAACGCATTATCATAATAATAATAATAATGATAATAGCCTAATAGTCCACTCCAAATTTTATTAAACCGAAACGGAAATTCTTTTTGCCCAATTGATCGTGAGCCCGGCAGCCACTGAGCAGCGCCAGATCGACGTTGCTCTATCCCTTGACAGGTTAAAAGCATATTGTATCGTTTTCAGACCTATATCAATCTCTAAATGTGAGCACTATTTTTTCTTTTGCTCAACGGGGGGAGGGGGGGGGGGGGGTGAACGCTCCTTTTTTTTGTCTTCAACATCCAACCCACTCCCCCCCCCCTTGAGCAAAAAACTTTGTTTTGGCGGGGTTTTGGCGGGGGGGGGGGCATATATACAACACAGATAAAGGGTGTCTTTAAAATTCTAAAACACCCCCTTTTTGCTTTAAAATTCTAATACACCCCTTCATATTGCTCCGTTTAGTCTCATTTCACAACGCCCCCTATCCTCAGAGTCAGCAGCCATACATGTTAGCCTATGGAATTGTACAAAAAAAAAAATCGCTAAAAATTCATTTTTTGTTTAAACGAAAAGCACATCCCCCCGACTTACGTTATCACTAGCTCTTTCGTTGGAACCCTCATGTCCCATTGACTTTTGAAAGTTTACCCACCGTCTCTTGATCAAAACAGGTTGCAAGCTCGTCATTGCCTATAATACACAATGTGAAACAAGTCGAACTTTGGACTCAGTTTGCCAAGTGATTTGAAGATTATAGGTCAAGCACACGAAGGATAATAATCATGAACTATTGTAGATTTTTTATTTATTTATTTATTTATTTATTTCTAATCTTTTGACAGGGTAGCCCATTCACCAACAAGTAGTGGTCTTCTATGGGGCCCTGAATGAATTATTTACATCGTTTATAACATTTATACAGAACAGTTACTAAAATAATACTCGTTTGCAAAATAAACATAATCATTAACCTAGTAAACAGTAATGTCAATAGGAAAATATTAATTAAGTCGCAGTTATGTGAATAAGTCATGTTAATATTACAGAACATGCACGTAGTGTATGTTCGGCTGAGCCATTCACAAATTACAACTTTGTTTAAACAATCTCTTAAATGAATTGACAGAGGAAGCCGTTCTCAACGAATTATCTAGCTTATTCCATTCAAACATGGAAGAAACAATTGGGCTACACTTATAACAATCAGTGTGAAATCTAGGCACACGTAAACATCGACTGTCTATTTGCCTTGTATGATGCTCATGCACATCATTAGGATTGATTAAGCCTACCTGAAGGTAAGAAGGTGCTAAGTTATGAACGCATTTATATTATCATCATAACGCGACTTAACTCAAACCGCTTCTGCTTGGTTCATTATGTCCATTTCATCCAACCCTCCACCGTCATTTTTCCATTTAGTAAAAGCAAACATTTTGACGAGGTAAGCAAAAACATGAATATTCATGACACACCATGGACTATTCGGTTATTAACAGAGGGGTGCAATCGGGCATCACGTCAAACTCCCCTAATTGCCACCAAGTATTTCATATCATTATATAGTTTGGTATATTTATTTTACTCACTCATGAATTATTAAATATCAATGATGGTTTAAAGATATGTAAAATAAATGTTAGTTGATATTTATTAACTTAATTTAGTAATTTATATTAAGCAAAGCAAACTCACATACAAAATTACTATCAAGTGTCGTCTGCTACGCCGATTGTCGCCTGCTTCGTTTAAGGCACCTAAGGCACCCCCCCCCTCCCCTCGATACACCAAGGCATGTAGGCCTACTTCTCGTTTAAGGATGCATTTACCGGCCCTATATGGGGCCTAGCTGCTGGGGGCGTGGGGCCTCGATATGAGAATTTAAGGCAATTACACACAAACCACATTGCTCTAGTAATTTCTCTTGTAACCTGTGCGATGTGAACAACCGTTAACCGGCGTCGATATATCAGAGAATGAAGCTTTTGTTCTAAGTCTATATAACCGGCTAACCGCGAGGCGCAGAGCTGCGAGCGCGAAGGCAATGCATTATTGGCGAAAATCTCTTCTTGTTTGCATTTGGCGCGTCATATAAGGATAGTGTATGGTAAGCCAATAAGAGTTTTCTACTCGGAATTGGCGTGAAATTTAGTAAAATTATAGGGTTTTATAGCATATTCGCTTTGAATTTCGTTTTCTTATTCAAGAGAAATATTCCAGAGTAAGATGTCATCAAATGGACCTTTGAAGCGTGTGGTATTCATCGTGAATCATTTAGCTAAATCGAAGGGATTTGACAATATGTTTTCTACGGTGAGATAGTTTGTTTAGACTCTAGTCCTACCCGTAACAATGTTTGTGTGTTAATTTGAAGTGATACACTTATCTGACTAAATTGTATAGAGTCTATGCATGGTCTTTAATATTATGAAGTTGTGATGTGGAGGTTATTAAAAGGCGATTTATTTTAATCTATCATATTTGTATGCCATTATATCAATTGCCGGCCCCAATTGCCATTTTGGTAATTTTCCAATTTCTGCCCACCTAGATAGTAGATCTAGAGTCTATAGAGTCTAGGTCTAGTCTACTAACTGTTAGATCTAGACTTCTAGAAAAGGGAATAGATCTAGATCGAGTCTAGATCTAGTTAGTTTCAAAATGTTATTGTTAGGGCTTAGGGTTAGGCAGTGGCGTACGCAGGATTTTTTTCAAGGGGGGGGGGGGGGGTTAAAATCAAAAGGGGGGGGGGGTTTCCAAAAAAACATAGATCTAGGCATACATAAAACATACACATACAAAAAACTCGATGGTAGGGGGGGGGGGGGGGTTTAACCCAAAACCACCCCCTGCGTACGCGCCTGGGGTTAGGGTTAGGTTTGCGGTTAGCGTAAAGGTGGCTGTGAAGTTGAGGAATAGGTCTAGTGCATAACTATTCCCTTTCCAGGCTTTTTTCTACTTTGGGCGGAATCTGGATAGATTTGACCCCTATTTGAATACAACTTGATATTGCAGAACTCAGAATTGCAAGTCTCAATTCAAGTAGCAATTAATTGCTACTTGAATTAATCCTGGCCCTTGAGGCTGAGCCTGAGAGAGGGCAGACTGCATGTTTTAACTTTTTGATTTACTTCATTTAGATTTATTACATCATCATACATGTATGTTTGCTATTTTAAAGACTATTTTATAGGCTAATATGGTCTATTATCTATTTTGTTTTATATTATTATAGTTTTTAAAATATTGTTTGCATGGGGGTGGGGGGGGGGGGGGGGGTAGAGACTGGTTGTAAATGACCATGAATTTATTGACCTTAATTAAAATTAAAGCCTATCTGTACTTGCCAGGAGGGATTATACGTCACTGACTGGTGGTTCATAAATATCTCATCAAATCAGCTCTCAACTAACATAAGGAAAAGGGGATCATGGGGGACCAACAGTTACCACTTCTAAAGGTATTGTTTGCTATATATAGATGGCTATAGTAGTAGCTACCTGTAGAGAGTTGTTACAAAGTTTATAGGGGGTAATGTTTGGAGATTTCTTTGATGTGAAATGCATGGTAAAGCATTTGTCCGTGTTAAAAGCCATCTGCCAGTCGGAGCCCCATTTGGAGAGGGCGTCGAGATCCTTTTGAAGAGTTTAGGGGTCCATTTCCGAATTTATTTCGCGGTAGATTAATGCATCGTCAGCAAATAAACGTATCTTGGTACCTTTGGAGATACAGTCGGGCATGTTGTTAATGCAGATTAAGAAGCACAGAGGGCTGATGACAGTACCCTGGGGGACACTTGATGTAACCTCTGCGGCTGAAGACAGTTTCCCATCAAGTGTTACTCGTTGTTTTCTTTGTGTTAGAAAGAGAGAATTGTCAAAATCGCTGTTTGGTATAAAATAACAAAAATTAAACCTTTGTCTTCCTCAAAAATACTAATATTGCTCCCTCTTTCTATTTTCTAGTTGAACATTGTTGCTGCAACTCAAAACAAAGTAACGGCAGAATATGTGGTGAAAAGTGAGCACTGCAATAATCATGAGACTCTACACGGAGGATTCACAGCCACCGCTATTGATTTCTTGACGACTGTAGCACTCATGATAGATGAAGAAGATTCCCGCCCAGGTGTTAGTCTCAATCTCAGTGTAAAGTAAGCTGCCTTCCTTGATCATAATCATGTGGATTGAAAATTTACAGTACTCTCACATAGTCGGATGAGGCTGGTCAAGGCACTTTTTACCTTAATAACAGGAGAACTCGATTTAGAAGAAAAATTTGCTATGAAAGAGTTAAAGGAGAAGTCCACCCTAATATTAAATTGGTTTAATTAAAAAAAAAAAAAAAATTACAGAATTAATTCTGTGAAAGTTTGAGAAAAATCGGACAACAAATAGGAAAGTTATGAATCTTTCTAATGAATGAAAACCATGGAATTTTTTAGACCGAAACAAAAAAAATCAGAAATTGTGATATCCTCCCTCACACTTCACCACTGATCTGAATGACAGAATGACCCAATATCCCAATTTCTTTGAATGTTAATTGAATAGTAGACTTATCTTTTATGGGGGTGCATGGAAGAACTGATTCATGATTGAGATAGGCATGACAAAAATATACCCTTTGGTCAAACAAAATTTGATGCTGTTTCTTGCATTCAACAAAGGATAAAATGTTAGGGGCTGACATCATGTTTAGAGACTGCATTGCCAATTTGACTCACAGATTTGAAGAATTTCATAAAAAGTTATGGATTAAAAATATCCCATAACCTTATTTATTGTCTGGTTTGTCTCCAACCTTCACTGATCTGTTCTTCACATTTTTCTCCTTGTATTAATTTTTTTTTATTAAGGTAGACTCCCTCTTTAAGAGTTCTTTCGTTCTGATCCTACCCAATTTACAGGACTATCCCTTTGTCTGTAACCCTATCATGTACAGACAACAAAATAACATGGATAGCTGCTGTTTGGTTTTCATCATAATGTAAAGAAAGTCTGTTTATTTTTGTGATATGATAATGATGCATACCAAATTTAGGGAGAGGGGTCTCTCTAGAATTTGGGTTCATAGCAACAAAGCAATTATTACTACAGAAGGAATCCATGAAGTCCTGATGTCAAATATTTCTCCTTTTTTATCATTTTCCCCCTCTCTTTTTGCAGTTACTTGAAAGCTCTAAAGGTTGGAGAAAAGGTCACTGTAGAAGGAGAAGTTTTGAGGAAAGGAAGATCAGTAGCATACACCACCGCACGCATCTTGAATGAAAAAGGTGACCTTGCTGCACATGGCACTCACATTAAACATCTAGGACAGTAATGGACTTGAAATATATACATAAGGAGATGATTTGAACCGATTAATGATGACTGCCATGTTAACTTTGTAGGTTATACATTCCTATATCTAGTACATCCTTATGAGGCCTAATTCCAATCATACTGTAACAGCAGGCACATATGACACTCGACGAAGTCATTTAGAGTTGTAGGTGGTATTTATTTTGAGGATGGATCAACCCTTAATGAGACAAAAAGAAACAGGCAAACAGATTAGTTTTTGTTTCTTTCACATATTGAACATCAGCAAAACTATATGATCATTCATAGAAATAGATACATCAATAATAACTATTATGATCATTCATAGGAATAGATACATCAATAATAACTGTTGCCCTACTTGGCATTTTCCCCACACCATAGAAATACTATACATGTTGGATACTTTTCCATATATGGTTTATAGTTAACATTGTAACATCCAAGAGCAATAAGCAAGGTATAACAATAAAATGCCCAAATATGCATAAGTAATCATGAATACAGAAATATAAATTTCCTTTTTGTATATAGTTCTCTTTACTATTACAATGACTCACCCCTTTTGAGGTCTCGAGGAGAGACTCCTAACGAGACAACGAGACTAGAATTAGACCAACTACATGTAGATAGTGCACCATCTCCAACTAACTGCCATCTCCAACCAAGTGATGAAGTAAGACCTCTGTAACATAAATGGTAACTTAAATGATAACTTCTATAACTTTCAAATTCTTAGAAAGTGACATGCAACTTGCAAGCTTTTGATATATAACAAATATTTTACTTTGACAACAAAATATCCAATACTAATGATACAAATTATCTCTTTACCTAGTTATTACTGTACACCAGGTCTTCTTTTGCATACACAATACTTTATACAGAGAAGCACAGATCGTATCATATTTGGTTTTCTAAACCAACTCATTATGAACAGCAATTAATGATAGGCCTCCAAATATTTACATAATTTCACTTGGGTACTACACAGAGTGTTTCTCTATAGATTCTTCTAGTAGTATCACATAATAACAGCAAAGGAATGTGAAATACAACTCACAACTTAATAAGACACTCAAGAGTTGTCAACTATACATGAAATCAAGTTTCCTCTATACGGTTTCAATCTAATGATGCATGTCAAATACATTATAATTCCACTTAGAACTTACCATAGATGCTGCAGAAATGCTATTAAGTATGAAGTTCTACTCAGAGTTAGCTTCTCTATCAAATCCAACCTCCTAAGTCCTGAGTGGATGCATGGTCTATGCTCGTCCCTCTCAATCTGTGATCTGGCAAAATATCCTTTCTCTCATTACCCTATACCCTCTCTGACCCAAGGTCAAAGTGCACTTCCCCTATGATGTGGCAAAAAATCTATTCTTCTCTCCAAATCACCCCATATCACCCCTCTCAGACTTAAGGTCAAAGTGAACTTTCCCTTTTAGGGACCACCTCAGAAGTACACTTAAAGGGATCTCCTTATTCAGAGACATGGATCCCTTCATTCAGGGACCTCCTCAACAAATAGAATTAGGAAACATTTCGACCTGTCACAATACTAATTGGTTTCGTTTACAATGCCAGCATGGGAAAGTTCATGACTGATTTAATTCATAAGAATTATGTTTCATATATATATATATTCCTTTGAAGTCATTTCTTTTTAACATTACAGGAACATTCAAATAGAAGAACTTAAACAATCTTCAACTACAGTTTATTGTTATAGATTATAGGCTATTACACCTTAGGGTTGTTTCATAAAGATCATAAGTCGAACTTAATGCTAAGTTTGACTTAAAGATTATGGAGAGCCATTTGTAGCCTAAACATAAAATATATTTAAAAGGGAAAATTCAAGTATTTCAGACTTTTTATTAATTTCAAGACCATGAAATCTTCTTGATAATAGAAATTATGAATGATTTGAATCAACATTGTATGCCTTTTAAAATAACTTCTACAAAATATTTTCATAGATGCCAACGGCTTTCAGTAATTGCAAAGTCCAACCTAGAGATAAGTTCAACTTAGGATCTTTGTGAAACACTTCCCTTGTATAGCATCTTCTTCTCCAGGGAAAGAGCAGATGAGCTCATTGAGAAGTTTACTATACATGCAGAAAGGATGCATTGTGCCTGGGTGCGACTATTATGAATTTTATTTTAATTGAGAGAAATCTTTTTTGTTGTTATTATAAAAGATTTTCCATTTTAAACAAAATTGTATAAAAAGAGAGCTTTATCAAACCCATTGCCTCAATTACCCTGCCTTTCTTATACATGTACTAGCATTGTCTATAAGAGTGAGGAGATATTTGTCATTTCTTCTATTTAATACAGGCTGTTAATTTATATTCTTCAGGGAAACAGCCCATGAGCTCATGAAGAAGGTTGCTTTACATGCAAAACTGTTGCATTAAGCTTGGTTGTGACTATTATGAAGTTGCCAATAATTGAGAGATTATTTTATGATTATAAGGGATTTACCAATTTAACAAATTGTATATCAAACCTACTACCTCAATTACCTTGCCTTTATTATACATGTACTAGCATTGCTAATAAGAGTGAGGAGATATTTATCATCTCTTCTATTTAATAAAGGCTGTTGATTTATATGCAATAATATATTTGTTCTCATTCTAGAATGGACCTTAAAGGGAAATCTAACTTTAAAAGCACATTGTTCTAAAAGAAAGCAGATTGGTCAGTGAAATCAGACCATATTTAAGGTATTTAAGAATATTTTAAAAAAGTGTAGTCACTATACATATGGAAATTAAATTGGCTGAAATTAAAATGCCACTGTGATGTAGTGCTAGACAACTTAGGATTTAGGAGAAGATAATTTATGATATCTTAGTAAAAAAAACAAATTGGAGAGTTGACCATGAATACAACTAGGGGACCTACGCCCTTAAGTCATAAATGACAGTAATGAGGATTAATGCCCCACAAAAGGGCACTTATATAGCGCATCGACACGGTTTTGATCCTGGGGCCTCGCAGTTACGAGGCCATTGCTTTGTTACTGAACCATGACTGTACGCAGCGGGGGCTAGGGTAGGGGGCAGTTTCAGTAAATAAAAAAAACCAAGAAAATGCGATAAATTTTCAATAATTTATTGCGTTTTACCCCGGTTCCCAACATAAAAAAATACTCTGTGTGCCCATGCCTTGAGCCATAATGCATGGCCGTCCAGAGGTTTTTTTTTAATGTTGGGGATCGGGGTAAAATGCAATAAATTATTGAAAATTTATTGCAGTTTCTGTTTTTGTTTTAATTTATGTAAACTGCCCCCTCCCCTAGCCCCCGCTCCTAGCCCCCGCTGCGTACAGTCATGGTTCAGTGACAAAGCAATGGCCTCGTAATTGTGAGGCCCCATGATCAAAGCCGTGTTTGATGTGCTATATTAGTGCCCTTTTGTGGGGCATTAATCCTCATTACTGTCATTTATGACTTAAGGGCGTAGGTCCCCTAGTTGATAAGCATAGTAGCATATGCCTTCTTTAGCAGTCACGCAAAACACACATTGTCAAATTATCTAGATCTATTTTTTTAAAATTATTTTTAAAATAATTCCATAAATTGGGGTAAAACAAAAATATTCCAACTTCATGAGCGACAGTGTATTATAGCGATGGAGAGAGAGAGAGAGAAGGGGGGGGGGGGGGGAGGGGGGGGGGGGGGAGAGAAAGAAAGAGATTATATAAATTTGTATTCATGTATACAACATAATTCAAACATATTAAATAAGAATCCTTTTGTTCACTTTTTCACCATGATAAAGGTAATGCAAAGTTTTGGTATGGGGTCGTGAATTTGGTTCAAATGAACATATTGGAAGCATTTGCGATCCTATAATATTCAGTGATCGTTAATTATCGCGGTTGAAATCGAGTCTAAAGTTATGAAATTTTAAATAATAAACTCTTTATGTTGTATAGCTCCCTCTCAAGGTCAAGATATTAAAACAATGTTTCTTGACTAAAATCGACCGACTAACCATCCCCGTTGAAGATTATATATCACATCTAAATATTCTGAGATTTTCATAATCGCAGCTACCATTGTACGTCCGTAGGCGCTATTTGAAATTCATCAAAATTTACCGGGAGCACCGGTAAATTTTTATATTCAATTTTTCTCGAAGCAGAAGTGTTTTAGGGGCTAAATTTTCTAGTGCTTATAATACATCCACAGGGGCAACCAAATAAATCAAAATTGTAAAGAATCACTATCCACCCAATTTTCAAAACTTCCCAAACTTTCCCAAGAATTTTGATTTTAGTTTTTAAAATTATTATTTGAATATTTCCATGACGGAGGATTATCCAAATTGAATTATGTGCTATATGTATATATAGAGAGAGAGATAGAGAGACAGAGAGAGAGAGAGAGAGAGGGATGAAGAGAGACAGAGAGTGCGAGAGAACGATTATGGGGGAGGGGGGGGGGGCAAACATGTCGAAGACAAGGGCAAGGGGTAAATCACTGAATTTTATTCAACAAGCCATACACAATAATACCCCGCACGGTACTTGTAAGGACCCAGTGAGGCCCGTTTCTAACTTTTGACTTAAATAATCAGCCTTTAATAGTAAGCTATAATTTCGCTAAGCGTTTCATGAAGCCCTCTTTGCCACGATCAAGGACAACATCCTGAGTTGATTGTGGCGCCTCCGACCCAACAAACTCAGACTTGAAAGACCAACTTGAAATTCGATCAAGCGCGTAGCCAGGATTTCATTTTAGGGGGGGGGGGGGCGGTAGTGAGCACGCAAAGCGTGCGAATCAGCTCCCTAGGGGGGTGGGTGCAGGGAGGGGGGAGTTTCTCCCCTTTCGCGGGAAGCGCGGAAGCTTTGAAAGAAAACGATTCGTTGTACCTTTCTCGACTCATAATCCTTGTCTGAATCCAGTCCGCCCCTCCTGCGCATGGTGCGGAAGCTTTGAAAGAAGATGATTCGTTGTACCTTTCTCGACTCTTAATCCGAATCTGAA